ATATAATATAATTACATAGTTATAAATAATAATACTATTATAATAGTAATATATATCATAATGTAATGATGAATATATACTATATATATTATAATATATAATATATATATATATAAATATATATATATATATATAATATAATATTATATTATATATATATATTATTTATTATATAATATAATATATTATATATATATAATGCTACAGTAATTTACTGCAGCATTTACTAAAGCATGAACAGTGATTCTTGGGTCCTCCTATAATTATAGAGGAATAGATGTATTATATTAAATATTATATTATTTATAATATATTAATCTTATATTAATCTTATATTATTAGCATTAATACATCAATATCCAACCTACATCCTCTCTCAATTGTAGAATTTCACAAATTCTAAAATATAATAGTTTTTTATTATTTGGGGATTCAATATCCCAAAATTGGTTGTGAAACAAATATGGTTTATGGAATTCTAAAACCCAAAAAACTTATAATCCACCTTACATCCCCAAAAAAGGACAAAACAAAAGAGTGGATTTCACAAATCTTAAAAATATATTATTTGTTTATAATTTAGGGATTCAATATCCCAAAATAAATTTTGAAACAAACAAAGTTTATGGAATCCCAAAACTCAAAAAGAGCACTTTTTACATCCCAAAACTTGAAATCCATGCTGTATCCAAAAAAAAAAAACAAAACAAACACCCCTAAGTGGGAAACTTCATCGTCGCTATATCATCGGTCATCAGTAGCTCAAAATCAAAAGCTTCCACGAAAATGGAAAACCCAAGAGATTGGATCCTCGGTGACGAGACCGCTCGCGATTTCCTCTCTAGGGTTTTATCAGAGCGGCCTTCTCTCCTCCTTCCTCCTCTCCACCGCGTCCCTCTCCGCGCCGGCAACGTCGTCGAGATCGTCGGCCCCTCTCCTTCCGCCAAATCCGAGATCTTATTGCAGGTTCGAATCTTCAGATTCTTTCTTCGATTTGAATGGCGATGTATGAACTAAAGTGGTTTTGTTTTTGTAGGCCGCGATCAATTGCATTCTTCCCAAAGAGTGGAGAGGAGTGCATTTTGGGGGATTGGAGAAGTTGGTGATTTATTTTGATTTGGATTGTAGATTTGATGTGCTTCGTCTATCGAAGGCGCTCAAGCTTCGGATTGGTGAGCTGTTGTTTAATACTTAGAATTAAGTTCAGTTTATCTACAACAAAAACAACGAAGCCTTTATCCCAACATATCCTGCTCTTCCGTTCATTTCTATCATGGGCCATTTCCTCCGCTAACATAACTATTGTCATATCCTTCTTATAATTGCTTCCGATCAAGTCCTTTCATGTTATCTCTAGTTCGTTTTTGCCTTATTAACTTTAACCTTAAGAGCATTTAGTGGCCTCCGTTGTACGTATGATGAAACCATCTCAATGAATTCTCTCTCATCTATCCTAGATATTAGCAACCTCTCATCTCTTACCAATGTATTTATTTCTTATCCTATCTTTTAATGTCTATCCATGTACAACTGTAGTTTTCTCATTTCTGCTACGCACATTTTTTTGCACATGTTGTTTTTTAACTGCCAACATTTGATCTATAGAGCTTGTTGATCTTATGACTGTATGGAGTTTGTCCTTCAATCTCGTATGTACCACATAGTCACATTAGACTTAAGAATCACTCCTCCATTTTAACCCCCTGTCTTGATTCGATGAACCATATCACCCTTACTCTCAAAATCATGAAAAGTAATTGATCCTAGATAATGGAAGTGATTCCTTTTAGATATACCTTCACCATAAATACGCAGTTTATGCTTATTCCTCTTCACTTACTAAATTTACAATCTGTGTATTTTGTTTGTGTGAGTTTCTCTCAACCAATTCATTATATCTGTTGAAATCAATTACTGGTACAGGTGTACAACTCTTTGGTTTTCTATTAGTCAATAATTTCGTTGATAAAAAATAAAAGTTCTGAAATGTAAAGTATGATATTGCCCATATGACCAGTTTGAGATCTTCATGAATATATTATTGGCCGGTTTGAAATTTACTTTGTATTCTAGATGTGATTTCTTTTGCTATTATTTTTCTACTGAATTATTATATTTTATTTTGGCCTGTATGCGATGGACGTTGGATAACATTTTTACTTTAGCATGCCTTATGTAAGGTTGGTTATGATTAGTTAATTACTACTTAAAGTCTTTATTTGGTTATCTAGTTAGTTATCTAATCCGCAATTATAATCAATGTCGAAGCTAATTCAACATGTAATAACAAAAAACTAGTAACTATATTTTAGTGTCCCATTTGACTATTGAATAGTTGACGATTCTTCGTTCTATATTTGAACTCCTAAGAAGTTATTTTCTGCGTAAATATCTTGACTATTCAAACACTGAACTTCTAGATAATGGTTTGCAGCATCAGCTCGGAATAGTTATTGGGGCCCATGTGAAGTTTCAAATAAAGATTATTCCATGGAAGTTGAAATACATAGCCCCTCTGACGATGAATTATTTACCGCTTGCATGAGGCGCTTCTTGTATATTCGTTGTTACAGTAGCGTTGAATTTTTGTCTGCCCTCAAGGCAAGTACGAACAACCTTAAAGGAATTGTTCAAAGTTTTTGCTAAGCGCATCCTTCTACATTATATAGTTTTTAAATGCAAATAATGAGGAATTTATGTATTTAACTTCTATTATTTATATTTTGGGCTTCATGCTGTAATAGTATCTTAGAGTTGATATAAAAGGTTGCAATACTAGAATGTTATGTTGACTAACTTATAGGACCTTTGTGGTGCTTGGTTTCATGGTGTCGTCATGATAATTTCTCACATGTAGTGTGTGTGTATGTATACATACATATATACGTACACACATATATACATACATATATATATATATATATATATATATATATATATATATATATATATATATATATATATATATATATATATATATATATATATATATATATATATATATATATATATATATATATATATATATATATATATATATATATATATATATATATATATATATATATATATATATATATATACACATATAGATATACATATATATATACATACATATATGTATATATTTACATATATAGTCAAAATAATAATTAACAAGGTTATAGAAAGCACTAGGAGGCCTAGGCATTTGACCCGAAGCCTAGAACGTAGGAGGTTTTCTTTTTCTATTTTTCAATTACAATAGTTGATACTAAATGTCAATATTATAGAAAACTTAGGTGCCTAACTAGTATCTAGGCAGATTTTTTTCTTCATTTAAGTGGTGATCGAGGAGAGTTTGCCGAAGATTAGAGGAGATAGTGGAGGTGTTCATATTTGGAGGTTAAAGAATTTTGAAAGAGGTTGGAGGTCATGGAGGATACAATACAGAAAATCACGATCAAGACCTAAAGGGTACAGTCTACTTAAGCAGATAGTACTCCCCTAAACACTCCCAAAACCTAAGTGGGCAGCTTAGGTACAACCAAGGCGCTAGGCGCTAATTAGGCGGTCTAGGTACAGCCTAGGCCTAGGCGGAGGCTTTTTGCAACAATGTATACACACACATATGTATATACATAGATATATATGTAAATATACATATACATGTAAATATATATAAAAATATATGTAAATATATATGTCAATATATATACATATATACATACACACACATCTACACACACGTATATATATGCAAATATACATATACATGTAATGTAGAACATGTGACAGCGCGCGCACACACACACATACATATACATGTACACACACACACACACACATATATATATATATATATATATGTATGTATATGTATATGTATATATATATATATGTATGTATATGTATATATATATATATATATATATATATATATATATATATATATGTAATATGTATAGGTATGTGTGTGTGTGTGTGTAATCTAGAACATGTGACATAGCGCATAATTTTTGCAATTCACACACCGCATCATTATCTGTCTTCCATTTATGCTGAACTTTTCTAGATTTCAAGTTTTTTGGATTCACCAGACAAGTAATTTTATTCCCTTAAAGTTCTCTTTCGGCAGCTTCCTCTTTAAATTTGGATCCAAATTATTTTGTTGTTTTTTGTCCCATTCTAGTTGTCATAGCTCCTTCAACTTTAATCTTGTCACTCTGCTGTCGTTGCTCTCCGTAGCGCATATTTGAACTATCAAAAAATGCTGCACATTTCCTTTTATTGGCCTTTTCCACTTAATTAATTTATCATGCAAACATCTATTTCTCTCAAGTAACTATTGATTTGATTGTTTAAGCTCTCAGGAGGTAATTATTATTTTTTTAATTGGACTTATATTACGTGATAAGTCCCATGGGGGACATCGGACTTGAGTTGAAATCAATATTCAGTGGGCACTGGATTCCACTTAATCATAGGAGTAATACAGTAGTCACACTACTTATCATAAGAAGAGCGGGACCATTATTCCATGTTTGATGTTTTGCAGTCTACAGCAGCTAACTGGAGAACTGTGTTACTCTTTAATTTCAGGCTGCAAAGTTATGTTCCGCCCAAGTTAGCCACTTTAGGCAGCTGAAAACTATATATTGTTTCTGATTCCAAATTCACTGACTATGTGCTTTATGTGCCCTTTCAATCCTCAAAATCGATATATACCTGCCATACTTTTTCTATTTGGAATTTGAGATATATGCAATGATGCGGATAGCTCTCAATATTTAATGTGTAGCTTAGACTCATTATGAAATAGGAAATAAGTATTCCATGATTTGTTTTTTCATGTTGTATGTCCTACTTGTAATTTGGATATGTATTTGTGTGGTACTAATGCAAGTTAAATGATACCATTATCAGCTGGAATGAAGTATCTGACACCATAGAACAAGTTAGCTGAATCATGGATAGATATGCCAAGGATTTTAAATAATACATGTGGATGGGAATTAATCATTTTACCACTGTTTGATAATAATTGAATTTACAGATGATGCACAATCAACTTCAGAAGCAAACTGAAGCTCTTGGTATCAGTGTTCACTTCCTTATGATAGACAGGTATAAATTTGTTGCGCATGCTTTGTGATTTTTGCTAATATGAATAGATTATAAGTGCCTGCTGATTGTGGGACAACCTTATCTGGGCAAAAATTCCTTTGATTTGTAGTATTTTGATGAGCACTTCAATTCTCCAGATATTCCTCTCTCTATCTCTTTTATCGGTATGCTATAAGTAAATAATATTAGAATGGATGCGCTACTGACAAAATTTTAAGTTTAGTTCAGTTATAAAAGCTTTTCAACTTTAATACTTAAAACTTAAAAGAGGTAATTGTGGATAGACCCGCTGCAGTATCGCTGCTTTAACTAACTATCTCCTAGTTTTATTTTTGCAGATAGATCCGCTGGGAGAAATCTTTTTGAAATGAGGAGATCACACAGGCACACACGTGCCCACCCACCCACAACCCTCCCTACCTACCGACACACAACCACACACTCCCAACCACCCACCCACCCCCACCGGCCAACCCCCCCCCCCCCCCCACCGGCCACTCCCACTGACATGGTTTATCAAATAGACTAAAGAATAGCAAGATATAGATAATAGATGATGATATAGTTCATTGATCTCCTGCAGCATCTGCTTTTACCCCTTTCCTGCTTTGAAATACCTATTTAAGCTACCATATTTTCTGCTAGCAAGGGAGTGGAATCATGTGTCGATGAAGCCTTTAAAAACCCTTCTATTTCTCTCCTCCCTGCTGCTCTGAAAAAGAGCCCATAAAAAGTAAATACAACATTCCCTCTGTTATTCTTTCCCTCTTGGTCGTAACTCACCATAGAGACTGCAAGGATGGAGGTCACTCCCTGATAATATTGACTACTGAGTTGCTAGTAGTTTAACAGTCCTCAGAATCCATTGATTCCTACTTAATTTCATCATAAACTATGTCTAGAAAGTTGCATGAAATTAATGGAAACCCCTTAAAAAGGTGAAATAATTCACCATGGTATGGAATGACCTTAGGAGACTAACTACAATGATCTTGCAAACCACTGTGAGAAACCAGGCAAGGGGAACTTGTCTATACAATTAGCAAATGATTCAGCTAAATGCATATGAAACTAAATCATATATAAACAACTTTATGCTATGAAACTACATCAACGTCTATACTTCCAGTAGGATACTCATTCATCTTTGTCATTGCGAATGCTTATGTTCGAAACACCTCGATATTGTTCCCTTTACCATGAATTTGTGTCGACAGAGTCACAGTTTCACTTTTTATTTCTTTCAGCATTGGTGCCTTTCAGTCGATAGACCGAGCATGCCAGCCCTTGCCCCATCATTGTAATAGTAAAAGGTATGCATATTTAATAATTTATAGCTTTCCTTTATCTTTGTTGTTCATATTGGTCACCTAAAAGGGTTGTGTTGTGACCTGAAACTATAGTTTGCACTTGTTTATTCAGTCTTCTATCTTCTGACCATTTGGAAGAAATAGGAAAAATATCACTTGACAAACTTTTTGACAAATATTATTTAATGTATGCATGTGCACATACATATACAAGCCACATACACTATAAACCATTTGACAAACTTTTCATGTAACATATTTCATAAATCGTTATGTTGGTGTAGGAATTTGGCTTAGTAGGTGATGCGATGGGTTGAAGAGAATGGATGACCGTAATTTATAGTGTAGAGATGAAAAAGAGGTTATGTAAAGGAAAAATGAAAGAGTGGTTAGTTAATTGGATTCATAATATATGCATTTAATTAAATACGTTATGGAATCTTAAAGGCCCTAAGAAACTAATTATATCTCATCATTTATGATGATCTGCATTTAATTTAATTTAAGTTAAGACTCATTAAATGAGACTTTGAGATAAATCAAATAAACAAAATAATTAAAGTTGAATTATCAAATTTGAGAGGGGTAAAAGGGGCAATCAAAAGTTTTAGCACCCCAGTCCTCTTTTATATATAGTGTAGATGTAGATTAAAGATTGATTTGTTAATATTATTGATAGATTAGGGGTTGGGTTCCCTGCATTACTCTCTTTTGGTTTTCGCATTTATTCCTCAAATCGTCTTCTTCAAATTCCACCTTCTATTCGAATGTCCTGTACAAGCTCTCTTTTATACATTAAGTTCATATGTATAGCAACCTAACACATTTCTCTATATTGATTATATATTTACAGAAGAGTACTTACATTGTGATGTCTCATGCTTGATATTCGCGAATTACTGCATCAGTGAGGGATTACAACCATCATCATGTCCTTTCTATAAATCATCTGTTAAAACACTTTTTACTAACAACATTATATAGTAAATATATTTTGATGTACTGTTCTTAACGCATCATAATCTGCATATGCACCCTGCTAGGTTGTTGAGTTGCACAAAATCCATACATCATCGAAGATATGCCCCTTAATATAGTTGGTTTAGGAAAAGAATTCATGCTGTTGACTTGAAAAAATTATTGTGTAAATGCTTTGTTATTGTCATCTAACTTGTTCTTTCTTTTTCTAATTGCTTATCCATATGCACTTTTAGCTCATGAACATAGTTGTTATTTCTTTTTGTAATATTGCCTATTGCCTTACTTGTATGTGTTTGTAGTTTCCAAATCCTTCGACACCTTTAAGGTCGTAGCTAGAACTTTATCCACAATTATTCTCCTTGCACACACGCACAGGCACAGACACACACACACACTCACCTACATTTGGGTCCCATCAAGACTTGACTTTCTTGTTGTCTTCCTTATAATAAGAATAATTATAATTAATCTCTCTCCTTATAATAAGAATATTGACTCTAAATCTTGAAAACACATATATAATGCATAAAATTCTAATTAGGCTACAACAAAGGACATTGTTAACAATTAATTGAAATTATTAATTTGTTCCTTATATTAATTGATTATAAAAAATAAATTAATAAGTGTTAGGTACAGATACTTTTGCGATGTGATGATTCTATCAGTCTCCTTGATGCCCAAGCAGGGAGCTACTCGCTATTGTGTTAATAACGAAAGAAGCTAAAGCTATATCGGTGTCTTGGCTAAGAATTGGGAAGGACTTTTATATCTTCTTTTAGAAAGGTAGCAAAAAATTATATCAATCATCACATTCGATAATATCGGGATACTTATAAGAGAAATAATATACATTTAAACTCAAAAACCACAACCAAATATTATAATCCCAACTTCAAAGCATGATCATAATCAATGCAGTCAGTTCTCTAGATATAATGACATCAAGAGTGAAAATGACACTTACAAACTATCCAATGAGTTGCCATTTGTTGAACCGTTGCGTAATTGCACAATTACTAGTTATATTGAAAACATCAAATTCAAAATTTCAATATATGTTAGTGAGAGGTTATTTCTCCATGGATTTGCCATCGGTTATGCAATTTAATTTTCACAATATTACGAGAAAAATTAAGTATTATCTTAAACAAATAGATTATGCATATGTGTTAACTAGGTTACCAGACACTTCATTTTTAGTTTCGTATCGGTGTCAGACACATGTAGGACATGGATTTGTCGCGGCTACGCTATGGACACATGTTGTTTAAAGCAAAACCTGATTTCCCAATTTCTTACCCTAAACTAGTCTCTTTGGTATATCGAGCTCAAAACCAATAAGTTCTTGAATCTAGAAACCGAAACCCCTTATCTAAAGGCTTGAAAAATACTCCTCGTATCCCATGTGATCAAAACTAAACTTTTGCTGTTAAGATTTAATTCTTAGTTTGATTTAACTTGATTCTTAATTGTTATAAATAGTAAAACAAACATACAAATGTTATAGGTGTTTCTATCAATATTTGATCTTTTATAAATATTATACATGTATGTATGTATGTGTGTTTGTATGTAGGTGTTTATGTATGTATATATCCGTGTCACCGTATCCTGCCTTTTACAAACTTGCTATGTTCAGTGTCCGTGTCCACACTCGCACTCGTATTTGTGCAACTTAGTGTATTAGATATATTTTTGACTATTCTAGAATATAAAATCTAAAGATAGAAAGGAAAATAAGACTTACAAGAGTCCCAATGCGCTAATTGCAAACTATTCTCTCACCAAAAGAGAAAAAGACCTGATGTTTTTCTCCCTGTCTTTAGCGCCATCCCTAGAAATTATCTATTTATCTTCACATGCTGTTGTTCTTGTCGCCTACTTTTGGATTAACAAGAATTCAATTCAACGTGGAAATTGGTTTGCATATGATCACACATTATTATTTCTCAATTATATTAAATATTTTCTAACTCAAATTCAAGGCTTGAAAACTTATATCTTGTGGGCCCCACTCCACATCATGGAATTATTTAGCTTCAATCTATATTGTTTGGTTATGGGTAGGGGTACGGATAAAGGCAAGGGTGTAGGTTTGGGACACGATAAATTTGTAAAGGTAGCGTAGGGGGACATGACTACATGAATATTTATATACTTGCATAGTATGTATTGGAATTAATAATTTATATGAGAACAATGATGAGAATTAAATTTCTTATAACATCTTATGTTTCTTTCATTATATGGATTATAAATTGGAAAATCATTAGTTTTAAACTAGACATCCTAATGACCCTTCAAAATTATAATTCAGAATCTGATCTATGTCCAACAACTTTCAAGAAGTGGATGTGTAGTGCAAGATTTAAGTTCAAAAAATGTATGACAATGTATTTAAATTAAAATATGTATTATATAATTGGGTACAGGGTCGAATAAATGTATGCCTATATTCAAGAAATGTCCAAGGAGTTTGGATTTGTGTACGAGTATGAGTATGATACAAGTACGGCTTCAAATTAAAAGTACTCAGGTGAATAGGATTTATCTAAGTCTTGACATGAAAACCAAGCTTCAACCTAACATCACAGTTCCTGTGGGATTATTAAGTTACGAAGGTGCAAGACGTGAGCACCGGATTAAGTTCAACATTGTGGACCGGGGGTAGGGTATTTGCCCCAAATCCCTTGGCTTTGCCGCTATTTAGTTATCCCAGATACTGTAGGGGTACGTAATCCACGTAATATAGAATACACAAGTGATTGGACACATACAACTTCTTTAACTGCATTGTAAATCAGAATCCAAAGAAAGTGTTGGTAGAATGTTTTAGAGTTGTTGAAGATGCGTACCCTGCAAATTTGAATAGCTAAATATCTATACTAGTATATAATGTACGAAGTGAGGGTAGATATATTGTAGATGAGTGGTGGACAAACTCCTTATAGAAGGATGTTTGAGGGTAAATTGTAGTTTTACATTAATATTGTAAAGTTAAGTATATAGGGAATGGCAAGACCTTTTGTCTTTTCCTATTTGTTCCCTCTCTTCCTCCATCCACTCAATCTACTTACTAAAGTTATAAAAATTGAAGTTATTTTCAATATCAAATTCAATGCTTTACATTACTAGAATTATTATAAAATATTAAAAAAATTTAAAACCTAGAAGGGGAAAAATCCTCATTCTCTAATATATAGTATGTTGAGACTTCAAGTAATAGTTTGTGTGGAGCCCTCCTTAGGAATAAAATAAGTAAAATTTGCATAAACAAATATTAAGACGAGGCGCATTAAAATTTTCCTCATAGTGTTAGAGTAGCGGTGACCACCAGAATAATTAAAGAGAATGAGCTATAGCTTATAGGACAAAAGGATTAATTTTTCAAAATTTATCTCATTGTCACATATATTCTTTCATTTTTGCATATAAGGTTTAGAAAAAAAATAAATTTTAATGTTTCTCTCACGTGCATCTACACGTGCCATGATTCTAGTTTGGGCATAATCCACAAAAGCCATCATATTGCTCCTCCACAAGACATAAACTGCAGAAATTACTTGTTTGACTGCTCCGTCCGAAGATTAGTTTTCTAATAATTAGACATGACATTAGAAGCACATATATAAATAAAATTATGAAGGGTGGTGTTGTCATTATGAGTCTATTGTTTGAAAAATGTCATATTCTAACAAAAATTAACAGTGTGCTTATCTACTGAATCTAACAAAAATTAATAGTGTGCTTATCTACTCCAGTTAACAGATTTATCCATTAGTCGTTCTTACTCGTACTTTGTGATTATCGTAGGTTTTTGAAAATTTCCTTAGCATATCTTAACATTTTGATCCCTGATAATTGTTTCTGTTGCAGAAAGACTTTATCTCTTCAAATTTGGGCAGAAAGTGTTGTGCAAAAAATCCGCAACCTTTTACAAGTGCAACCTGTGCTAGTATTAGCTACAAAAGCAACCATTTTTGGAGCTGGAACCTCGATACATGGTGCACTAAGGTTAATTCTTGTAAACTTGCATATTAATTCCCTGACACATTAACTGGTGTACATGATAACATATTCTCTTTAAGTTTATCCAGAATATATATAATTGTTAGATAAATCAATCTTAGCTCTATAGAACAAAAAGTTCTCGCAGTTTTTGGGTTTTGGGCACTCTGGCTTGCTTGTAGAAACTTTAGACGTAGGACAAACAAATACATATGAAGGTTTAGAAAACGAAATTGGACACCTTTATGTTTGCTTCTATGGTCTATATCAGGCATACAAAATATTGTTATGTCTCCTTCCAAAATGGATGGATGGATGAAAAAATAAACAAATAAATAAATAATTGGAGATAGATTGACTTGGTAAATGAGAATATGATAACGTCTTACTCTTAACCCTTATATCTGGCCTTTTTAAGCATATACTATTCTGTACAAGAAATCTTATCATCTTTTACTGTTTGGATTTTTTTTCCTATCATAAGAGAATTTTTTGAAGCTGCATGAGTTTACAATTCAATTACTTAGGAGATGTTTTTTCTATTAAAAGAGGTTACTAGGCAATGTTCGATCATCAAATTAGAAGGATAGGAAGTTCGCTCTATATGGCTGAAGTTGATGGAATTAGCTTATTTGAAAGTAAATATCTAACATCTTTTAGTAATTGTCCTTATATATAATAGTATTTAATAGTTCTTTAAAGTGGTGAGAATAAACTATTGAGTCTACTATATCTTAAAGTGGTGAGCGGATAACTATAGCATGTGTGTTATAATATATATAATATATATATAAATATATATATATATATATATATATATATATATATATAGGAATAAGTCTTCTTTCACGAAAACGGCCTGATTTTTTTCTTTTCCAAAAATCGACTGTTTATTTTTTAAATTTATCAAAATCGACCGGTTTGATGATTAGCAGGTTAATCACCTATCCCTAAATAGATCGGGGTGCCAACCCCCGACTATTAGGAGGGTGTTAAACCGCTATTACAAGGGTGTATTAGCAGGTAATCATATCCTAAATAGTCCGGCCGTTGGCACCCCCACTATTTAGCGATAGTGAAATTACCTGCTAATCACAAAACCCGGGTCGATTCTTGATAAAAAAAACAGTCGATTTTAGAAAAAAAAAAATCAGCGCGGTTTTGAAAAATTGTTCTATATATATATTTATATATATAGTCATATTAATATAATATATATATATATATTATATGAGGAAAAATGGAGCGAAAGCTTCGGCTAGCCGAAGTAGTCTAAGTTTACTTATTAGTGATGTGGAGTAAGGAGAACATTTGGATCTGTTCAGAATGAGAGTGAGAAGTGTTTGAAGGTATTTTTCGCTTCTTGAAAAGTGCAACGGGCCCATTAATATCTCCTCACTCATAACTCTCACCGTCCCCTCTCCCCTTAGATCTGGGTTCAAGACCCCGACCACAAGGCCCGCCGCTACCAAGAACCCGAGCATGTAGTTCCAAACCGGCTTCATATTCTCCCTCTCCTCGTGCCGCTCTCCCCCTTGCAATCATCCACAGCATCCGCCCACCGCCTGCTGTTGATGCCTCTGCCTCTCCTTTTCCCCCTCTAACACCGCCTCCCTCACTCCAACCACCCGTCCCTCTCTTTGACCACCCGCCCCTCTCTTTGACCACCCGTCCTTCCCTCTGACGGCTACGAGCTTCGTTCGTCGAGCACTGTCTCCCCGGTAAGGCCCCGTTCATCACTGCCTCTCTTACCCACACCGCAATCTCTTGCCATGGCACCACAGTCACAACATCCCAGCTAGTAGAGACACCACTGGCTAACCCCACTAGCACAATCATTCGTGTATTGAACTACCGTCACCTCGAATAGCCTGGATCTGCCATTCGCCAGCGCCTAATTATGCAAATCCGGCTCGATGACAACCTCCCTCAATCGCCACTCTGACGACCGCCACTAGCTCCTCTCTCTTACTAGCATTGATACGTCGCTCTCATTTGCCCATCACTAGATCTGTTGCTCTAAAGATCGGGGTTGATGTATTTCTTTAGGATTTGATGAGTGCTTGTTCTTCAATATTTGCGAATTTAATGACCAATATCAGTTCAATGTGTTCGGGATTAAATTGATTGAAACTTTGAACGTCATTTTGTGAGAGTTCGATTTATGTTGTATGTGAATTTGACTATAAGTATTTTTGTTGGGAAAATTTGTCATATATGAATTTAATCATTTTTAAGTTGGTTGCTTAATATGGTGAATGCATTTTGGCAAAATAGGGAAATGTAAGTAAAATTTGTATATTACGAATGTTTGGCAATAAGGAGGAATATTTTTATACGTATCGTGTTGAATTGGCTATGATTATGAAGCTTATTACGAAAGTTGGTAGTTTGTTGTGAAAAGAAAGAGGAGTGTTTAGTATTAGTATAACTCTTGTTTGACAACATGTTATTTTCTTTTTTGACCTTTAATTATCTTTCCAATTGGGTTCCCATATTGCGACAGGTTGAAGATTGTCATTTTTCTCGTTTTACTCACAATCCGCGCTTATAAAAGTAAAGCAAAACATATCCATGAACAAAATAGTGCAAGGTAGTTCATGAAAGTTTCATGTGTCAAAGAAGACAATTGCAATGGATATGAGAACTTCAATTCTACCACAATATCTATATAACTTCAAATACCGATAACCAATATACAATGTACTCCATCAATTAATCTATAGACCACATACACCAATAACTCTAATAATCAAAATAGAACATAATCCAAGCAATTAGTCTATATAACCACAACATGCAATACTTTGATGCTAACAACTACATGACCATGACAACCAATATTAATATTAACAAGTCCATATAAGAAACCAATAACACCGTACAACATTAAACTAACAATGAAACCACACAACTACAACTCCACTAACATTAGTAAGTCTATACAACTTACTCACAATTGAAAACCCAACGCCCAATAATAACATCAATAAGTTCATACAAATTCCAAGTTCACTTACATCAACAAGTCTTACAACCACATCTCACCAATAATGAAACCGAACGACAACATTAACAATTATTCCATATGAGCAAATAGCACCATCTACTCCAAGAACTGTACAACTACATAATCCTTTTGTAAACTACATCTTGCTCTTGCGGCCTAAAATGCTCTTGCAAACCACCTCCTTTTCTTCTTCTAGATGATAGAAAAAAGAAATTAATTAGTGATATTTCAAAATAATGAAGCTAATGAATAGTATATGAGAAAAGTGAATTATATATGAGAAATATATGAATAAATGTGAATAAATAAAGAGACTAAGTTGAATTTACCAATAATTGACAATCCGTTCTATAGTGATCCAATTGTTGACAATTACCACATCTTAGTTGTTTCATCTCCTTTTGTTCTTTCGATTCTTCAAAGCCGGTTTTAATCCTAGTTGAATTTTTAGGATGCCCCTTTGGCTTCATGGGGTCGAGGGGATCACGAAACATAATATTCTCACCATCTTTCAACACAATCACGTGAGTATTTGAATCAAATTGGTTCCCCACTTGAGCATCTAGAGTTTGAACCATCTTGTGCTGTGCTTCGTCCTTCGGTTTTGCAATGAAGTTTGCTAATTGTTGCTCTTGCTTAGAAAGAAGATCATTCGAGTCCGCCACCATATCAAGTACTTTAAAATTTCCCAGTAAAGCTCATTATCTTATAATACTTCAATGATATGTGTTATCTTCATTTTGTTACAACTTCATAGTATTAACAAAGCCCAAGTACTTATACATTGCATCTATTTTCCATCTATGCAAGCTATACTTATCGGGAATAGAAGTCACTTGGTTGAACTATAATATATTTAAAATATACTCACAAAGCATCCCTTCGGTGTTTCATGAACAAGCGCATAGAGCTTGGAGCTCACTATTTTTTTTATAGATTACTTCTTTCCAATTCTCTCTTTTTTTTGGAATATTTGCCAATCAAATATATAACTTTCAACTCTTCCTTCGACACTTCTTCATGATGTAATGACATTAGATCACCAAACTCCTTTTAAAACGTCTTCAAAATCACCCTAGCGTATGTATTTTCAACTTGCTCTTCAATCAGATTTGAGAAGCGTATTCAAAGTCATGAAGTATTCATGAGATTTCGGTGCACGACGAGATGCCACTGTCTTATAATATTAACCCACGAACTCAACAAGTCTAGTGTTTGCATTGAGAAAGCCATAAAAAAAAGGCATTGATACTTTTCACTTTTTTGGTTTGTTATCATTCCCACCCAGGAAGCAGTCTTTTAAGTTTGCATTCACCTAATTTCATGCAAGCTATACATTCTTGTTATTCAAGTATCTTCATTTTCATTTATGTCGAATTTAATCTTCATGACTTACAAAGATCCTTGCATCTCAACCCTGTTTTAACTCTTTAACTTCATTTGTTGCTTAGCAATATGCTTTTTTATCATGCCAAGAACAAAAGCGATGATGAGTATTTGACAGCATGCTCTTGGTAGTTTTTCTCATCTGTGCATCCTGATCAATTATGATAATAGTTGATGCGACCCCATGCATACACTTAAGCCATTGAGAAAACAACCACTCGAAGAATTCATGTCGTTCATCGGCAAACAATGCACAATTGAAGAGGGTGGACTAGTGGTGGTGGTTTACTCTAAATGAAGCAAAACACGAACCCAAGTGATTAGTCTTGTCAAACATCACCATATCTCCAAGACTTAAATAAGTAGCTCTAGCTCTACCGTCGGCCTGAAACACACTTCTCAGTGTACTAAGATGATCGACCTCTTTAGTAAAATAGAAATCTGGATCCTATTGTTCTTATCTTGGAAATGTCTAATAATATTTTAAACATTCATAGGCAGTGTTATTTCATCTTGTTTTTCTGATATTGTTAACCATCTATTGCGTGGTGACGTGTTCAACATATTGTCCTTGATATCCAACATTAAGCACATTTTTAATATTAGAAGGCTTCATTCCCTCTTCATGCAACATCTCAATGAAAGCTCATGCAAGTCCTTGATTGATGTCATTGCTTATGAGAATAATGATGAACTACTTTATTAGGGCTGTTAAAGGATGAAGATGCTCAGAATTCAACTTAGTGACCGTTCAAGTTCTGGAAGAAGCGAGCCTAATCTTCATTTTCGCACCAAAACAAACTCTAGTTTCCAGACGACAGTTGATAATCAATCCAGTTGCCTTTTCCGTCGGCATTCTCTTTCTCCTTTGTTGCATGCGTAAGTCCTGGAAAGAATCTCCCTTGAACCCTTCTTTGATTTTTCTAAAGTGTATTCGTGAATTCCAAACCCAATGTTCTTTGCATACGAATTGTAGTAGTTGTATGCATCTTTGTCTGTTGGAAACTGCTTCCCTCAAATAGGGTAACATCATCACTGATTTCAATATCCTTCTTTGGACAATTCTGTAACATTAAATCATTATACGAATTTGTTAGCTGTCAATTTAAAAATGAATGCAAATCTCTTCCACAAGCAAAAAAATAATGGAATAAGAGGTAACAATGAGAAATTGTAAATTGCTTATGATTTCGAATCAAATAAGTAAACCAACTTTGTGAGAATTGATAACGTGGACATTATGTTATAGGTAATCTTTTTATGAATATGAAAACAAAGATAATAATTTTGAGATTATAAAGGTGTGAAGTGAAGAGTGAGAAGCAATTGTGAAACATTGTGCTTAGGTTCTAAGTTCTTTATGCTACCATTTTTACAGTATATTATGTCTTGAGTCGTGGGTGATTTGACATTCTGGTTATATAAGCATGCCGTCAGCTATACACTAAATATGTATTTTTGTATTTATTACAACTATTGTTTGATCATACTATGTCTTGGGTTAACAGGTTAGTGAAACGACTTAATGTACATGCTCTGAACTGTTCATTGTTGTTACATTCATACAGGTTAGTGAAACAACTTAATGTACATGCTCTGAACTGTTCATTGTTGTTACATTCATAAACATCACTCTGAAGTAGTTCTGATTGTTTTAGTTTTGGTTTCTTAATCACATCAGTAATCACTCAAATCTTTAGAAAACTGAGTTCATAGGGTTCTGGTTTAGGATGGATTTCAGGACTTGGTTCTTGGTTACCTTTTCAATAACAGATTTTATTATCACAAATTGTTGCTCGCTTGAGGATGCAGTCTCCAAGAGGTTGACCGTTGACCCTATAAGAAGAAGAGGCTTCTATTAGGGATATTGCGGGAGGGTGACAACAATGGATTAATCATAAGCTGATGTAAAATTGAATAGTTCTTAATACAAAATTGAATAAACTATGTTGTTTTCATATGCTTATTTCATGTGGGATTAAATAATGTCTTTGGGAATGCTAAATAACCTCAACAAATTTCAATTAAAGGATCAACAATTGTGTTTAAGTGCAATGCATGTACACCTATACTAGTGTGTGTATAGAAATTTTGAAATTAGTAATTATACATTAGATCAATATTCCTACAATTAGAAACTTGTGATTCCACTCAATTTTCTACAATTATTAAATAGAAAACAACTGTACATAAAGAAGAGGAAAAAAAGCAACATGATGATTTTTACTCATGCATCTCTTTGATTCAGTACCTTAAAAATAATAGATTCAAGATTGTAAAGAAATATTTAAAAAACATTTAAATTAAAAAAAATCCCAAAATTGAATTTTCAGTTGACTATAAAATTGCATAAAGAGAGAGAGAGAGAGAGAAATCCCAAAATTGAATTTTCAGTTGACTATAAAATTGCAGAGAGAGAGAGAGAGAGATATCTTGTATATTGACCATAAAAAATAACAGTATTTTTCAATAGTCTTCATTGTATAACAAAGAAAAGCCTAAAAAGCCCTAAGTCTTAATAACTTACTATTGTTCTATCTAGAATTTTTTCTAATGCTCTAACTCTACCACCAATCGCTAAAGAGCTGAAACGGAGGTGGACAAAACATCGTTGGAGCTAGGATTTAAAGAAGAAAGTTTGGGTTCGATAACTCTGAAACGAAGATGAATAAGTGACAAAGAGATTGGGTATCTTCAGAGAGATGGGGATGCGATTGAGATTTTTGAAAGTTTAAGTTGTGTTTGTTGGTTTATCGGGTTCAAAAAACTCGTTTTTGAATTCGATAACCAAATAAACCCTAATTACAAGTCTACCACGAACCATGGGCGTACCCATATCTGAACTGGGTCGGATACGAGTACAATAGCTTGGGACAAGTACTCAAGTATTATAGCTATTGACTAGTATAATTGGCTAAAGAATTTCAATTATCTATTAGATAGGTTAATAATACCATCCCTATTATTCAATAAAAAATATGGTTCCTTTTATTAAGCACAGTTCAATATGGTTTACTAACACGATAGGTGCATCCTAGCTCCTACACCAAAATAATCGGCTTTAATCAACAACCTGTGATTTGCCAATTTGAATTTCCTGTTAGAGCAGGTTCATATCTTTATTCTAATAGTTAATATAAAACCAAAAAAATGTTCTTTTAATTAGGGACAAAATGGCAAACTCCCCATTAAAGTATTGTTGAACTCCCAACTTGTCCCCTAAAATATCAAATTGCATATTCCCCCTTATATTTTGTTTGCTTGCCCAATGTTGTCCTTTTATGAAGCCATAATTTTAAACAACCCCCTGAAAAAAATAAAAATTTGAAGAAAACACCTTAAAAAAATAAAAATATTACAAAAACTACTTGAAAATTTTGAAAATTATAATTAGCCCCATGAAAATAATAAATCACAAACAGTTAATGTAAAATTAAAATTTGCAAAAATTACCCAAAAGTTTTGAAAGTACAATAAACAGCTTGAAAGAAAAAATTTACAAACAGCCCTCTGAAAAATTGAAAAATACAAATGGGTCCTAAACTTTAAAATTTGCAAAAAACACCCTATTTGGAATTTTCTAGGGTGTTTTTGTAAATTTGGAATTTTAAAGGTTTTTAAATATCAGATTTTCAAAGGTTTTTATAATTTTTTTGGATATTTTTTTATAATTTCCACTTTTTAGTTGTCAGTTGTAATTGTTGAAATTTTGGAGTTATTTTTTAAATTTCAGTGATAACTCCCGGAGAAAATGATATTCCATGTTTAGTATTTGACGGTGGCTTCACAAAATAATTGCATTGGGCAAGCAAACATAGTATAAAAGGGAAATTAGTCAAACTCATACTTTAGGATGCAAGGTGGGAGTTCAACAATTAAGGGGAGTTAGTCATTTTGTCCTTTAATTAGACATGATTCAGTTTTGTTCATCAAACTTTGTCTATGGTTCTTACACAATTTTGGGTTCTTAAACCGGGCACTAGGTGGGCAATTCAGATAGAACCTATTCAACAAGCAAGTATGGTCTGTTTGTAAATGCTTCTACAGTTCTACTAATTGTATGGAGCACTCTGAACTTTACCATGGCTCTTGTTCATGGATTTTGACACCAAATCAGTATTGACACCAATACTGAAAAGCAGATAGATAAGTGCTGAAGTTCATTAAATTAATAGAGCTTGTCTCACTTCACTTCACGCTTTGCTCTCCATCACATATGTTTGCATATATACTCCCTTGTTCTACTTGCTTTAAGCAAATCATTTCTTAGATTTCCGGAGTTCAGAAGATAAATGGTTCCAAAATTTCCTAACTAAATCTTTCTCATATTTGCGTATCCTTGCTTGTTTGCATATCTTAGCATATATGATTGCATCTGGTTTCACCAGATCACCTGCATTTGTATGAAACTTATCTTGATTATTCATATGGTTTATGGATCTTGAGAATCTTGTCTACTTAGGTTACAAATTTGCAATATCATCTGTATGCCTGCTTTGCTTTTATCTAATAGACCTATAGAAGCTATTGTTCTGTTTTTGCATCCTGTGTCATCCTGTTCATATTCACACTGCAGATGATCACACCATCGCCATGGTTCTCTCTGAAACCCCTCATCGTAAAAAATGTCTCTTGTGTTCCAAAATTTCCATGTGTTCTGCTTCATTGGCTGCTAGCTACTATGAATGAACTGATATTTATGGAGTTATGACATGTTGAAATGCATGCCCTTAAGCACACTCCTGGTGTAGAACTTATGAGGCATGAGGCTCATACTCATTTGTGACAAGTGTATGCCTCATGGATATATGTGCCTCAAGGTATTTTAGCTCAAAAATCCTTGGAACCATGCCATTTTAATCACTGTTCGAACGATTTTACATGTTTTTATCAGGATTTGTAAAATTTGTGACCAGAAATGAATTAAATTATGATGTTGTGTGAGATAGACTAATAGTACTGCATTCTAGTTCATTGGTCAATACCTACTATGAATCAACCGATATTTCTGGAGTTACGGCATGTTGAATGTATGCCCTTAAGCGCACTACTGATGTAAAAGACTTAATATGAGGCATGAGTCGCATGCTCGTTTATGCCTTATAGTTGAAGTTTATTCCTTATGGACATACGTGCCTCAAGGAATTCTAGCTGAAAAATCCTTAAAGCATGCCACTCTAAATCATTGTTTGAAGAACCGTAGATTTTTTTTTTAAAAATTAAGATTTTGTAGAATCTGTGGCTAGAAATGAATTAAATGATAATGTTGTGTGATAGACTGATAGCACTGCATTCTGTTTCATTGGCCTACCTACTATGAATGAACCGATATTTCTGGAGTTATTACATGTTGAATGTACACCCTTACGCACACTCCTGATGTAAACGACTCACTATGAGGCATGAGTCGCATGCTTATTGGTGCCTCATAGTTGAAGTTTATCCCTCATTGATGTACGTGCCTCAAGGCATTTTAGCTCAAAAATCCTTGGAACCATGCGATACTAAATCACTGTTCGGACAACCTTATATTTTTTTAATTAAGATTTTGTAGAATTTGTGGCTAGAAATGAATTAAATGATAATGTTGTGTGTGTGATAGGGCTCTTGGAAAGTGGTCTTCTGAGGACACGGGAAACTTGAAAACTTCAAGAAGGGAAGGGGAGAAGCCTTTATATCGTGATTTCATGCCTTCAGCATGGCAGGTTCTTTCTCATTTTTCTTACTATTCAGTTCATGTAAGGCACTTCTTTCTACATATTCTTAAATAAACCTGAAAAGTTTCATGGAGATCCTATATTTATCTAGTGAGTGCAAATTCATCCGTGTGATGGCATCATGGTTTTAATATTGGTTATCAGAAATATATCGGATGGCCAAAATTCATGTTGGATCCTGGTTATGAGGGATATATCGGGGATTAGTAAAAATTATAGTCGTTTTGATGGTGAGCATATATAATATAATGTCCTAAATGTAATCTAATCACATCTAATGAAATATCGAGAGAGGTCGTTGACAGAGGTCTTCGAGTGAGAGATTTGCGAGCAATTTGGGGAGAGAATTGTGGAGGCATAGAGAATTAGGATTACACGATAAACGGATGTAAAATAGAATAGGATAGCACGGTTTTTATATAGTGGATGCTGGTTGGTATGGAAAAAGAGGGTTTTTGCCTCCAATCACGAACTGGTTCGCTTAGAATGTAAATAGTAGAAAATTGGGCGATTTTTAATCCACGGGAAATCGGATGTTATATCGGATTTACACCAATATAAGGGGGCAAATTGGCCAAAAATGATATGCGATAAATTTTTGTAAAAATCATATCAGCCATGGCCCAAACCCTATTTATAGGTGATAAATCGATAAAATTAGTCTATTTCTAAAACACTAGATGACATATGTTGTTAATCTAGGTTTCTGTTGCATTTGCTAGTTGTTTTGGTTTTATTTGACTAATATTGTCATTGAAAAAGCTCAGCACCTCTAGATTTCTTGGAAAACATGCAGAAAAGGTCTTACTTCTTCACCTTTTCATTTTTAGCCATAGTTGATTAAAATTGGTTATGGCGGTAAATTTTTGGAGATTGATGTCATGTGGGTTCTTGTTGTCACATTTTTTTTTTCATCCAGTCAGTTGTACCTCTACATCAACAATGACTAGTAACAAATTGTTAATGTTTTTGCAGTCACTTGTGACTCACAGGGTACACGTGGGAGTTTCAGGTTTGCCACTGAACTCCTTGCTGTGACATCCAACAGTTAGGAATGTTAACATTCTGAAAAGAGATCCTTATGCGCTGCTTGTAAATGAAATTTTTGCAGATAAGAACCAGGGAAGATGCCCTACTTACACGTCTGAATGGGTTCAGCCTCCACTCCCTACTGTAGACGAATTTACTGTTAATGATGTAAGGCGTTTGTCCTTTGTTTAAGGATACCATGACTGTACTACTGTATTCTCGACTTCTCTCACTTTCTTTTTCATATTATTTCAGAATGGTATCTTTATGATATCATAAAACTATTCAGAGAATCTATATGCTTCTCTTGTTTTTGTGCCACTTTCTTGCTTTCGTCAAGGTTGGGGGTATTTCAGCTTTCACTGGTTGAGTATGTTATTCTTCCTTATCTCCTTTATTCTTCCACAGTAAAACACTTTATATAAGTAACTCTTTCTTTTAATTCATTTTTCAGTATATTAAATTAGCAAGTAGTGGTTGGAGGCCACTGGGCCTTACTATTCATATACATGTTTTTGCATCCCGGACAGTGATTTTGTTTTTGCTCATTTTTATCGCTTGGTGATTTTTCTAGGATTTGATCTAGAATCCAACATAGATATTTGTTCGCAGTGGAGACTATGGTAATCATTTGCTCTGCTGCCTTAGTGTAGCTGCTTGCTGAGCTATGTATTAGAAATTTTACAATTTCATCAAGTTGGCTGGGGTTCTTCCACGGGTTAGATAAGTTGGTAGATAATTATTAAGCATTCTGCCTAAGTTTTTACTTCAGAATGGCTTGAAAATTTATTTTTTTCCTTTTGGAAAATATTATTTAAATCTTCATTTACTCAGGGATATCTATGCCTTAGTGCCAACGCTTGGCAACATGACAACATCCAATTATGCCAGCTAAGATGGAACTAAAATATTTAGATTGAGAGGGTGTCCTTTCCGTCTTGTAGCTCAGCTTAGATGCGATCGCTTGAACAGCAATATCGATGATCATGTAGTTGACAGCTTGGACACTAAAGCCAAGGAGTTTCTTTTTATCAAGTTGATTAGACAATGTTAACAGCATAAAAGGGTTTAAATGCTTCTTCCCTCAACCTCTGAGAGGCTGAATCTATTCGGTCTTCTTTGACTAGCAGTGAAGTTTACCCTATCCATGGATATACTATGTATCTAGTTCTTCCAAGTGAGCATATAGCGTGGTATGTCATCTTTCTAATGGTTACTGAAAGACAGTACTTCTTAAGAGCAGATGATACATGCAGCAAATGTCTTACTATAGTTGCAATAGAATGATATATCTTACTCAGTTTTCTCCCATTATTTGATTTTATGACACTCATTTATACATATGATAGTGAAATGATTTCTGAATTTCTTTTTATCTTGTCTTCTGCTCCCTCTCATCTTTAGACCTCAATGACTTTATCATAACCCCAATATTTAGCCCGAATATTTAGCTCTAATCTTAGGTGGTGGAGGCATCCCCATGACCTAATCATCCTTCCCCTCTCTTTCATTCCTCTTGGCTGTGGTGGCTGTAAGATGTTCATGGTTGGGGTTTGAATTTGAAGGAGAGAATAAGGAAAAAAGGGATCTTGGTTTCTTGAAGGGAGGGAGGATCTTGGCCTTGACCTTGACCTTGCTGGTGGATGAGAAGACAAAGAAGGGGAGGGAAGAGAGCAGTGGTGGTCGAAAGGAAGTTGAAAGGGAGAAGAATAAGAGGAAGAAGATGGCTTAAGTTAAAAGGAGCGTATGGCTGACAGAGGGTGTGATTTTTTGCAGAAATATCCTCGATAATTTGGTATTACAATAGATTGGTTAGAAAACGGGAATAATTCATTTTTTTACTCTGGTGAAGTATTTGGTGAAGTCACTGAAAGAGGAAAGGCTTTCAAAACTTTATTAACAAACATATCATAGTTATTTGTATGAGGTAATGTTTGTGGCTAGTTATTTGAACAAAGAAAAGTTAACGATTTTTTCAGAACACGATCATGCTTGTCTACTGAAATGTAGCCATATTTTCTATAGTAAACTAAAAGTTGAAATTTTTTGATAGTTTAAACGAGTGCTGAACATGCATGCCTAAATTATAGTGGAGTACCATGCCACCATTTGTAATTTTGTTTACGTTCCCATGGTTCTAGCTCCTGAGTGGGCTTTGTGTTGATTGTCAGATCACAGTTGTGTTTTATAAGAAAATAGACAGTCAAGCTAGCGGAAACAGTAAGTCAAAGATGCTTTAACAGAGCCAGCAACTCTAGACAGTTTGGATCAGATTAGTTTCTTTGAAAAGTTTGTGTCAAGTGGATGTGTGCGTTCACAAATTAAAATTTAATGTCAACCTATTGCCAATCATAAATATCTAGGAAATATCTTTCTATCCTGTGAGGTTCCATTCAAAAGTTTAGAGTTATGGTCCACAACAACCGATAAGCACAATCTTTAGATGTGGTCTAATTCCAAAAGGTGAAATGTATTAGATGCATCGAGATCTATAACAATCATGTAATCACTTTCTCTAACGTATGGCGAGACCAATGAATCATCAGGAAATAGTTGATGATAATGACGTACCTAATTCCTCAAAACTTTAAAAGCAAGATAATTAATCATTTATTCTATGTTTGTTACTTTGTAATAGCTTGGATTTATGAATCCAAGCATGGTAGGTGGAGATCAACTTGTGATTAACATGCACACAAATTCCCTAATCATGATTTCCTAGCACTGCAGCAGTATTCTCTTCTATTTTCATGCTACTGCACAAGGTTTTTGTGATTGCAGGCACATGTTTGTGGAGAATAGGGATCAATCCTACCTACTTTTCCTTTATCAACTCCCGAATTGAGCTGATTATGATCTTCATCCTCTAATTTTGCTTCTCAAATATTCATGTGTTCATAGTTTCCATCAACATATTAGTATTAAGCGTTGATGTCTTATTCCTACTTTGTTCCCCACCATCACAATCTAAGATATGCCCATTTAAAAAACAGAGAAAGTCCAAATTTACCAGCCTTGAGGCCAATGTTTTAAATATCGGATATCGGGGAAATATCGGATAGCCAAAATTCATATCGGATTGCCGATATCGGGGAAATATCGGAGATATGTGGTAAATATCGGAATGCCATAATGAATGTTTGCATACATAGTATAATGCATTAAAATGTAATCTCAACATATGTAATGAAATTTAAGCATACAAAATATGAATAATATATGTTTAGGATCACTAATCAACCTTCTAAAACAAACAAAAGCGCAAAGCAACATTGCAACATTCGATCTGCTTTTTTTAGGGCAAAATGTCATTTGATATAATGGGGAAATCTTGATATCTCACCCAAAAATTCCAAACACGGTATATTATTTTGCAACAAGCTATATAAAAAGATATATTGGTCCACATATCGGTTAATATATCGGCCATATCGGAGATTTATCACTCAAAATAGCCAAAAAGCGATAAAGGATATTTAAAGACCATATCGGTTGCGGCAAGCCCTGTAAAAGGATATATCGGGGGATATATCGGACCATGTCGGGGATATTTAAAACAATGCTTGAGGCCCTCATGTTGTCAGATAAGTTTAGTGGGAACTATTAGTAGTCCCTGTCTCAGGCAAAGATCTTTTTCTTTCTACCAACTTCCTAATTAAGTCTACATGACATTTTATCAGTTATCTCTAAAACCTGTTTAAATATTTATCCACCTTTATTATACACCCATTGCAATTCTGAAGCATTTAAATGAGCCATTTATGCTATTGAAATTAAGTGATAACAACAATATTTTTGTATGCTTAAGACAATTATACTCCATTTTACTGGCACAAGTTGCAATTTATCCTGATAATAGTAGAGTCACTGGTCCTGATATTTTATAGGCACTGAACTTTCAGAGAAACTATTATTGTTTGACTAGTATACAATTTTTTTTAAAAAAAATTTAAATCTCTTTTTAAAGTTCCTTTTGCATCCGTACGTACTGGGTACATTACAGGATCATGACATACCATCGAAGGAAAAACTAGAGTGGACATTTACAGGATAGGACAAGATGACCATGTCAACAATTTTCTATATTTTTAGTCATTATTTTTGCATATAGAGTAGAAAGGCAGAGAGAAGCTCTAGGGAAATTTTAGATTGTAAAATTGAATCTACAAGCTTATTGACGTAGTACGATCTATCAAGTTCTAGGGAAAGTGATTAAACAAACTAATATGCAAAGTAAATGCAAACTCACACTAAAATTGCTATGAAAAATAACTTTAAATATCAAACTATAATAAACTAACAACTAATAGTAATAAATAATGCAAAAACTATAGCAAATAAGGAATGCATTCGGGATAAACTTGAGGTGTGAAACATCGAGCACAATCCTCAAATCCTAATTGAGTACTTAACATTTGAGTCGAATTCCTATTAGCTAGATCCTGCGAAATGATATCAAAATAAAAGGGTCAGTTCAATATAAGATAAATGATGTAACAATTTTAATTAACCATACTATAAGTCTATAAGCAATCTAATTAAATGGGAATAAGGGCTTAGATCTTAGTTTTGTAGTTCTCTGTGCCATGGAATTCTGTAGGGATCAAATCTGTGAAGGAGAGGTTGCAACGTCGAGAACACTTGATAGTTCAGGGGAACTGTTCACCCAAGGCTTAAAAGGCACAATTGGAATCACTCCCGAAATATCTTTGATTAATAATTCTTATTAAAAATTTACTAACAATTACATAAAAGTTCCTCCCTTTTATAGAGATCCAAATAAACAGAAGATAACTCAAATCTTATCTAAAAACATGTAAATGCTTATCTCTAAACAAATCAAATCAAAATAATCTCAATTCTGTTAATAACCTTATTCTTATCCTAACAATAACCAAGTAAAATCTGAATTATCTCAAACCAAAAAAAATCTGACGATATCTCAATGAGATTTATGTTGCCAAGTCCCTCTAGAATAGAATCGGGTATATTGATCCCTATCACTTATCGAGAGGATGTTCTGTTTGATTTACACCTTTGTTTGTCAGGAAGAGTTAAGGTGTAGGTATTGTGAATCCTTCGAAGTGCATTAAGCTGGAATCTTATTTCCCACTGAGTTATGCGATTTCGTACGGGGAGGTGGAAAACAAGTCTAGGATTTTTCTTAGAAATAGGGTCTGAACTTTGCATACACATGTTCCAAAGACTTAGAAATAGGGTCTGAACTTTGCATACACATGTTCAAAAGAATGTAACTATTGAGGTCCTACACTTTAATTCATTTCCATTTTGTTGTGTTTGAAATTATAATAACCTCAACTTTAGGTGAACTCTTATTGCCAGAAACACCCTTGGCTATTTGGATAAAAGCATTCAGGATGATGTGTACCAGTCAGAAACATGGAGTCCAGATTGTAGAAGATGCTTGCAATCATAAGAAAGATAAAGAGATAAAAAAAGAAAGAAAGAAACAAGCCATTTAGTCTATAGATATTAGGCTTGCGTAAGAATGAAAAAAATAAAAGGGTGTTTAGAGGAAAATTCTTTGTGGAGCAAGTTTAGAATCCCTTATTAGTTCGTATGAGAATCTGACAATGAATTCAGATTCAAGCCAACTTACTAAATCATCAACCTGCTGAAAATTGGACATTTGCACTGGTATTTGTCAAAATTTTCTTTTGTATAACCATCTTCAAGGGCGCTTCTGTTGAGAAGCCCATTGCGTGGTGGAGTCTGATGTTAATTTACATGTGATAGTTTCTTTCAAATGAAATCTATGAAGGTGGCTTTCTCCAATTTGATATGTATGCTTCTCATAATTTACTGATTAAAAACAAAGTCAAGCTACAAAATTTTTAACTAGAAATAGTAGTTAATAGTATTCTGATTTTTTTTCAAAATGCTTGTGGGTGTGTTGACCTTCTGTGAGATCTATATAACATGGCTGCCAACCATTAAATTCCCTCTCAATTTTATATCCCTATCAATAAAATTTTTATTGTGCATCTTACGGAAGTGACTCATTCATGATAGCTACTTCAATCATTTGAGAATTTTACTTTCTTGCCATTCTGCTTTATGCACTCAGGACTATTTAGCTTTTCATGACTGATGATGCCTATTTTGATCTATGCAATTCTGAACAGGTGTATTATAGTGGCACTGATACAATCATGCAGAACACGGTGCATTATTGACACTTTCTTCCCTGTTGTAAGTTAATATTTCTCACGCAATGCCTTCATCTCTTATCTAATCATGTATTTTGTTGTCCTCATTGTTGCTGTTCTTGGTTTGCAGCCGTTCTTTCTTTAAGGAGTCTCGGTTTGTTTCCAACCGGCATCTGGTCTGAATTTGCTTCTTAATATACAAGATAACATTTCTCTTTTGTACTCTTCTTATAGGGTTAAGTTACTTACGCGTGTAAATTAAAGAATGCCATCTGCAGTTCAGAAAGTCTGGATCAAATTAATATAATAAATGCATCACGTTGATAACACTAGCATTCTTGATTCCTGGTTATATTTCTCCCTTGTTTAAAGTCAATGCTAAGCTTTTGTCATTTTTGACTAATGCAATTCTTCTAAATGTCTTGTTGCTAATAGAGGTGGGATATAATTTCAGATTATGGGTGTTGAGTGAGGTTATGATCTAAGCTGTAGGTAGATCACTTTCGATGCTCTTTATAGTTATTTTCTCCCGTTATTTTTCAAAGTCAATGCTAATTTTTATACTTGAGAACAAGTAATAATGCTTCCAAATTTCTTCTTGCTAATGCTAGTATAATAATGGGTTTGGAATGAATCTCTATGTTCCCAATTGTTACTTGTACGGTATTCAATTGACCTAATAATCTGGAAATAAATGACTACAAGAAAGGAATCTTCTCATGCATATGTTATTATTGCGTATATAATGAATTTGGATTCTCTTCGCTACGAAAAAAAAGCAAAAGCAATGGAGAGATTCTCACTTTTGATCATAATTATTCATTATTTAGTAGATGAATGCGATTACTTTTAAATCTAATATTCACTGTATCTTCATTAATTGTATTCATTCTTAAGTTGTACCCACAGAAAAAAATATTACTACCCATTAGAAAATTAGCGATTACAATTATATAATAATTCCTCTATTATTTTTTTTTGATAGTGGAGGATGTGAATCCGTACACAACGGCGGAGACTTTCAATGTTCCTTAAAACTGTTATTGGCGTTTCTCTCATCCACACAGATTCAATGAATCTTTTGCCGAAAAGTCAAAGTCGCATGGGAATCTTGATGAATCCCAATCACATAAAAATCTCGAATCATTATCTCCTTCACATGTCCGGAGTGACCTTTCACGGGCTTATTTTAATACACGTATTCCTTCAAATTTTAACATGGAGAGCATAAACAACAGTTCCTACTTAGGAAGAGTTTATTTACAAAATAATCATATAGAGAGTTATCAATAGAAAATCATATAGAGACGAAGCTAGCGGATTGCAATAATACAAATCTCAAAGCTTGTAATCGTACCGATTACACTTGTATTAAAGTACAGTTGCAGTGATACGATACTGTTGAGCCGTGCTATTCTGAAACGTGCTAATAGTAATTATATATTTGTTTTGATAATATTGCTTATTGACTGACTTGATTCAGAGCTTAATTAAAATAAATAAAATACGGGTCATAATCTCAGTCACCCTCGGCATCGTTTTATGCAGAGGGTGATTCTATCCCTTTTTATAGCATTTAAAATTAAGAAAAGCTGGCGAGTTGCAAATTTTGACCTCGCTATTTTTCCATGTCTCCATTTCGAAAAAGGCTAAGCCTTTAACGCCCCAGACGACCTCATCTCTTGGATTCAACAATGGGAAAAAGAAGAAGAAGAAGAAAAGTCTACTCTGGGATGAACGACCTTTCAAAGTCTTCTCCTGGATTCAACAATAAAAAAAAAGAAAAAAAAAGAGAGAAGAGATAAAAAAACTCTTCTCTGGGTTGCTTTGCTTTCAACCACGAAAAAACCCTGGAAAAGCGTGCTAAAATTCCCGTTCGCTTAAAATTAATTAAACCGATCGATACTAGTCTACTCCTACGATGCCTACATAACTCAACCTCCCCCCCTCTCACCCTTCATTTACACCTTGAAGTTGTCATGGCTACTGTACTACTCGTAGTCCCAGTAGCCTACGCAGCCAACACGTCGGCTGAGTCGCCCGACTGGCTGAACAAAGGCGACAACGCGTGGCAGCTCCGCTGCCGAGGCCACCCTCGTCGGCCTCCAGAGCGGCCTCGGCCTCATCATCCTCTACGCGGAGCATCGGTGAAGAAGAAATAGGCCGTCACTTCGCCTTCTGGCCCTGCTACGCCTTCGCCGCCGTTCTCATCTGCTGGCGTCACCTGGGCCACAAACATGTGTTCGGGCGAGCAATCCTCCTGCCCTTTCTGGGCAAAGGCGAAGCCCGCCTCGCCAAAAGTTCCTGATCAAGCATCGGCCGCGA